TCCCATGGGTCTTGGCTCAGCATACGAACACCTCCGAACTCTGGGGCCCTCTTGCGAAAGTTGGGATCCGCTTTCGACCATTCCTCGTACAGAGACTTGAGGTCCAACTTGAGGCTCAGATAATGCCGTAGTAACTCCTCTGTGTCATCTTCACTAGCTTCGCTGTCAAAACTTGGAGGGGTGAGCGGATATGTTGGTTTCGTAGGCCAAGTGACCTTGTAATGCAGGTGAGTTGGATCTTGCTTTAATGACACGATTCGACCATACAACGTGCAGCACCTGGATGAAATCTTAGCGGAATTGAATCATTATGCAAAGAGCTCAATGTGACTGACCACATGTCATTGACTTTACGCCATCGGAAGGACTGGCCACATCGAAGAGTCGTGTCAATGCATAGCTCAGCTACACTAAGCGGCAGTTTCCGCCATTCAGTCACCCTGACCACAGACATAACTTTCTTGTATTCAGAGAACAAGCTTTTCGTGAGGGTCACCTAAGCGAATGACAGTGACTCTAGAAGATGCCAAGTCTTGGATCAGAAAGAGGACAGAAAACCAGATTAATAGATATGAAGGTGTGTGAGTTACATGAAATTGAATAAAAGTCGCCGCTGAGGCTGATCACTTTGTGAGTTCTTCCCCTGAACGGACTGGCCGATTCAGTGGCCAGTTGCCACCACAGAACTGGCTCTAGCGGAAGCCGTCAGCCACAGGGGCTAAGCCACATCACAGTGTGATCCATGATGAAGCCCAACACTGAGATAGCCGTGCACACTGTACCGAAACACAGTACGCAAGCCCCCACACCTCTTCGCACTCAATCAAGAGCATCACGACCTTACTGAGCGGCGCATCACACCTCAGCATCCAGTTCAACCGCCCACCATGCTCTTCTTCAGGTAAGTTTCGAAACTCACTCGGGGAACGCGATATTCACAGGCTTTCAAGCCCAGAGTTGCGCCCCGCGCATGCTGGATGATGCAGTCACTGACGTTACGCCCACTAGTTTCTTCAAGACGCTCATCGACCACGAGGTCACCGTCGAGCTCAAGAACGACATCCAGATCCGCGGCATCCTCAAGAGCGTCGATCAGTACCTCAACATCAAGTTGGAAGAAATCTCTGTCGTTGAGGAGCTCAAGTACCCGCATCTGGTCCGTCAGCCGCCTGCCCCCCCTTGCACCAAGGCTCTCACGCATCCTTATTAGGCTGAGGAGCCAGCCTTGAGAATGTCGCTAACGAAAATATGTAGAGCTCTGTCAAGAATGTCTTCATCCGCGGCTCCGTCGTTCGTTATGTTCACTTGCCCGCTGGCTCAGTAGACGTGCCCCTTCTGGAGGACGCGACGCGCAGAGGTGAGTCTTGCGTTTCCATCACGTTCATCGCAGGTATGGGGATAGCGCTAACGCCATCACAGAGGCTGCTGCCCAGGCCGCAAAGGCGAAATAGGCTATTAGCGGAAGGGTCCAAGGTTTCAGAATGACGCATATTAATCATGGCGATATGGCCGGGGCACTGAAAAGGCCGGTCCTCGCATGCGGTGGAATGAAGGCCAAAACCTCACAACTAGGTACACGTGCTCAACGATATTCTTGGCGTCTGGCAAGACCTGGTGTGGCAGCGCCTCATGGAGTATGAATAGAGGCGATATGATATCCAGACAGAGATCTACGAAACAAATCAAATGTTCAACGGAAGTTGCGCCCGACCGCATTGTACTCATTATTCATTATGCTATTCTGATGAAGCAAGCAATCACCACCAGACGCCTCCTCCACGGCTATCTTTGCCGTTCCACAGCGCAACTTCTTTACCCTCGGCCTCTTCGCCTTCGAGAGGATGCACGAGTCCGCCCTTTCTCCTCTCAGACAACCATTTATCAATCCAGCCCTTCATCCTTTTCCTCGATACTTCGCTGCCGACATTGACCGTGGGTACTACCTTATCGATGCGCAGGGACATCACGAACATGGTCAGCTCCCGGAAGCTGCTATGCTCACTGTATGGCACACCAAAACACATGGCTTCTTTCGTGCTGCCGCGTTGCGCGATGAAATCCTTTGCCCCAAACCGAGGCCGCCAGGCCTTGCCTTGAAGAATCTGTGTCATCGGAATCGTGCCAGGTTGAGTGCTAGCTGTCACCGCCTTGCTAGCGCCTTGTGGACGGTAGTTCCAGCCTGAAGGTCGAAATCCTACGATACGACTGAAATGCGGCTTGTACCCGTTGAGATATTCTTGTAGTGTCTCGGCGCGGATTTCCATCAGCATTTGCATGTGAACCTGAGCTTCATGCGGATTATCCGTCATAAGTGCCGTCAGCTCTGGGTCTCCAAGTTTGGACACAATGCGGATCTTCGACTTGGACGCAAATATCTTGCTTCCCAGAGCTTGGGCAATAGCTTTGCAAATCCGCTCCTTACCAATCGAGTAGGTACCGCAAATAACAAGGAGACGTTCCTTTGGAGCATTTTTCTTCTTCGCCTTTGCAGTGGCGTCGTCCGCACTTGTCTTCGTGAAGAACTTGCTGACCGTCTCCGTGCCAGCCTCTCTGTTGATCTTGTCCCATGTGTTGTCTTCTGACGTCTGGTCTGGAGCAAGTGACTTGCACATATCTGCGCATGCCTTTATTACGTCGTTCTGAGGCGGGAAAGAATAGCGGGGGTTGAGGTAGGTCGTGTCCAAGTAACAAACATCAATCTTTTGCTGCTTGAGTTTGCCTGATACCGAATCTTGTATGTCCGGCTTGAGTAGAGGATGGGCAACCTGAGCTGGACAGGCTCTGAAGTCGCCACAATGCAAGATTCTTTGCTTTCTCGCATTTGGACCCTTTCCCATTGTCTTCTCAAACAGAAATAGGGAGCTGCCGGGACAGTGGTTGGCAGGGATCATAGTCACCGTCACACCCTCGGTGCCCGGGACCTCCTCCGTCTGATTGAACTCCAGAGCAATGACCCACTTAGCAGCGACTCGTAATTGCATCTTGACCAGGTCTCCGGTGACTTTGCTGCAGTATATTGGGCCGTGCGTCCAGGTGGAAGTCAAGCCGATATAGTGATCGCTGTGAAAATGGCTCAAGAAATAGGCATTGCATCCCTTGACCGCACCATACCTGAAGGCATCTACGCAGATGTAGAAACCAGGCATTATCTTGTAAAATGGACAGGTCCGTTGATATGCGGGCTTTCCACGCGATGAATGCTCTGCGGCAGCGGCGCCGGCCCACGCAGCATCTTCAGCATGGCCAGACATCAATTTGGTGAAGGCAGAAGTCGACTTGTTTTGGACTTCGCTCAGCTTGAATGGGTTGGCTTGGCCCTCTCGTGGTACTGCTGTGCGCGCAAGTCGTTTGTTTACTTCAGGGGGTTCAAGGATTGGCGGTCTGGCGACTTCATCTTTGACTTTCTTGGTCTCCTTGGGTTGGGGTAGTGGAATTAGGTTGCCATCGAGGCAGGCGTTCACATGTCGTGTTGCTTCGTCAGGTGTGATACCGGCAAGTGTGCCGTCGCAAATAGGACAGTTGGCCACCATGGCATCGCTAGGCCGTACAGGATCGGCTAATTCGTCGCAAGAATAGTCGCCCGTATCTGCAGCCTCGGCTTCTGCTTCCAAACGGGCTTGTTCCTCCATGAACTGCATCATGCGGTATTCTTCGCCGCCGAAATCTTCGTCGTTGGGGAAATCGTCTAGGTCACCAAAGTCGTCAACATTTGCAAATTCGGCGTCGATCGAGTCCTCAACCTTCAATGGCGGTGGCGGGCAGCTCGTTTCCGTCGCTGGCGGTTTTGCCTCTTCTTCTTCCTCCTTTAGCTGAACCAACGGCGTAGAAACATTATCTTGCTTCATTGCTGGAGACGTCACGTCGTCCTCCGACTTGACCGGTGGGACGATGGGCGGTCGACTGCGAATAGCACCGATGAGACTTGATTTCCGAGCTGTAGGGACCTTTTCTTCTTCTTCTTCTTCACTGTCAGATTCGTCGAGAAAGGGGCCTTTCCGCTTAGTGGCCACCTTCTTAGAAGGCCTCTCTGTGGGTGATGAGGGTGGTGGTTCGGACACCACAGGGCTGTTGGAATCTCTTGCGGCTGACTGTTCCCCTTCGTTATTCTCGGGCTCTTGGCTTAGCCGCCGCTTCTTGTTTGGCGCCTCAACCTCATTAAACCTCGCCTCCTCCTCCCATGGTTCGGCATCATATATCTCTGGTACCTCATCATCTTCCTTTTGGGGAACAACGAGCTTTTCGTGGCCATCGATAAACAACGTCTGCTCGGGCTTTTCGGCCTTCTGAAAGAAACTCAGAATGCTAGCATTGGGTTTCCCTGCAGGCTTCTTCGAAGGAGGCAACCTGGTTAACGGTTTTTTGGGAGTCGTCGTAGGCCTCTTCCGCGCTGCCGTTGATGGAGAGCCCATTTTGCCACAAATGCCCAGTGAAGGGTTGCTCTTCTCGAGAAGTACAAATTGTCGAGGGTTCTGATGTTGCGAGTACTGTCGAGACCGCCATCTACACTTGCATTGTGCTACACAAGTCGAAGGGGCGAAATCTGGACAAGGGGCGAAGTGTCAAAAAGTAATGACGTTGGGTCTAGGACTGACTAAAACACGAAAATCGCGGGGTCTTTTGGAGTGCGTCGCGAAGTCACGTGCTCTTTCCGAAATATTAAAGTGCCTGGTCTTAGCTCCGGTATAGAGATATTCTTGGAAACGTATAAGGCGACAACCATTCCTGAGCACGATGTTCTTGTGAAAAGAATGTCTCGCAGTCTTGATTATGGATAAGGCGTTTTATCTTTATTCACAAGCCAAGTGCGATGATATCTGCTTGATTTAGCCGAGTCCTCTTTCGTCCTGTTCCCCAGTCTTCCCATGTAGCTTTACCCAAAGCCATGCATCTCCATCCCAGTCCGAGCTTCGTACAAGCATGCGAAAGCCCATCCTTAGTTGAGTGCGAAGGCCTCACCAGTACTTTGTAGCATAAACAATGATTTCCACATCGCTGGGGCCTCAGTTGATGGCCCGACGGCTGCTACGCATGAGCTCCCAGTGGAAGAGCACCTTGATGTACGCCTGGCGTACCGTATAGGCGGTGATAGAAGTGATGATAGCCGCCAACGCCACACCGGTGCTCTGTACATTCGCTCCCCCATCGAGCTGATGCTGTCGCCAAAGCCGAAACAGGTGGGCCTCGACGGCAAATAGGCTGAACTGCATACAGAGGTAGGAGAAGGTGCCGAATCTTGCGACGTTGCGTGGTAGTTGATACCGGCGGCAGAAGCTGGTCCACCTCTTCTTGTGGATGATGTAGGGAATCTCGGTCGCATAGATGATGATGTGGCGAGCAAAGAGTATCATGAAGTAGCGAAGCGTCAAGGTCGTTGTGCCTCCAACGATGACGGAACGGAGAGCCAAGACCACGATGAGGGCGGTGATAATGTCACGACCGACGGTGATGTACACAAGCATTGTCGCCAGGAGATGCGGGTCATCAATCTCATACTGCTGGTTGAAATATTCCATGGCGAAGACTCTGATGCGTATGCCAGTGTCGATAGTGGCACGCGCTCTCAAAACACCGGGTGGCTGTGTTTCTCTTTTCTGAATGGAAAGGAAGCTGGGCGTGTCTGTCCTGCTGCGCGTCTAGTTTGTTTAAAAGATACTGAGGATAATGAAACAGTCCTAGCAAGACTCATCGATGACGTTGTTGATGGGTTGTTGCGGTTGGCTGTTTACCTCAGCTATAGTCCGAGAGAAAGAACATGTGCGAGGAAGAAAAGGCAGCTCAAAAGGAAACCAAGGTGGAAAGAGAGTATTGATGTTGAGCCTACGTAGGCTAAATATTTGTCGATATCCCCCTTGCACACCGTCCTGGATATTGGAGCCAGTATGGTTATTGGTGAGGATGGCCAGCTCAAAGGGAGCGAATCATCATGGGCTGAGAGTCAATTGTACTCCTTGTGATGACGGCGTCCCCGGGAAGTCTCTTGATCAGACTTGCGTGTTTCTAGCTCGAGCCCTTTCACTCGAACGCATAGCTTATTGAACCCCTTGTGATGGCTGAGTACCTGTATCTTCGGTTGAGAGTCAAATAAGCCTCTCCTTGTAAGATGAGAAAGCATGTATTGGTGTTGTAAGATCAAGCTTCATTGTTCCACGCGAAATGATTCGGAAACACTCGTTTCTTGATTTTCAGCGGTTTCTTGGACAAAAATCATAGCCTGTTCAAATATATAGTCTTACTCTTCACAATTTCAATCCGAACGAGGGTTACTGTACATTAGCATCTCAACGAGCATTGTTGGTCCTTTAGTAGAGTCGAAGACGTATCAAGGAGAATAGATCGAGCTAAGGGCTTGATCTCATTCATATCAAGACAAATATCCAACAGTCTGACAGCGTATGAATGAGAAAAGAAACACCAAGCTCCTCTACTTACATCTCTTTCCATCGCTCAAAAGAAGCGAGAATCCAGGGGCCACTTGGAACAAGACTCGTGATCATCTCACTGCACTACTCGCCCCTATACCTCTCAATGAACTCCGCTACTTCAACGGCCCCATGCGCCCTCGCAACCTCGGCTGCCGTCCCCCTGACCTTGAAGGGTGCCCTCATCTTCGTCGGCATGACCTGCTTATCGATGCCCAGCTCTAGAAGAAACTTGACGCACTCCATTTTGCCTGTCCTCGCCGCATAGTGTAGTGCAGTATAATCCCCCTCGGCCCTGTGATGCAGATCTTGGCCACAGCCGAGGAAGAAGCTCACGCACACGACGCTTCCGCCGGACGATGACCAAATAAACGCGTTTGAGCCTTGAGGCGTCATGTAAGACCACTGAGCTCCGTGCTTAAGCAGGAGCCTAATCATTGGCAGCGAGCCGGTCTCGGCTGCTGCCATGATCGGAGTCGCCGTGCGGTACCCCTTCGCCTCTACTTTGGCCCCGTTCTCTAGCATAAACCGAACTATCGGGAAATCCTTGACCCATACAGCTGCATGGAGAGGTGTATCGTTACTAGATGATTTGGCATCCAGATCGGCTTTGTGTTTGACCAGCAGCTTAGCCAGCTCAAGCCAATGCTTCGTCGCTGCAAGATGGAGAAGAGTTATGCCATTGCTCTTTGCACGCGGATCTGCGCCAGCCTCGAGAAGCTTGGCCGCGATGCTTAGGTCTGGGTTGTAAGCGGCGTACCATAGGGCAGTCGGCGCCGTACCGTCTTTTGAAGTCTCTCTCGCGTTCACGTTGGCTCCACGTTTGAGCAGAACATCTACGGCGCCTGGGTGTTTGTTCTTGACTGCAACGAGGAGCGGCGTTTCACCCTGAGAGTCTCCTGTCAGCGGTAGTTCGAGAGTCTTGGCCTCCTTGGCCAAGATCTCGAGCTCCTTTGCGTGCCCACTCGACGCAAGCCCGTGAATCGGAGTTCTGCCGGTTTTCCAACCCCCAAGCGTCGGATCTGCTCCTCGCTCGACGAGTAACCGAATGATTTTCAGGTTGATGACAAAGTCATTTTTCTTATCCTTCTCCGGGGGAATGCATGCCTTATAAAGGGGAGTGTGACCCCATTTGTCTCGAGCATTTGCGTCTGCCCCCTTATCGAGCAAATATTGCACAACAAGATATGCATAGCTCCTCACGGCTGTGTGTAGCGGCGTGGTCCCGTTGGCATTCCTGATCTTCCAACTGGCCCCGCTCGACAATAGCGCCAACGAAGTGGGAATCTGTCCTCGATTGAGCGCCTGGTGCAATGCTGTATCCTGCAGCGCATTCTGGACATTGACGTCTGCTCCGGAAGCAATAAGCCGGTCCAGGACGAGCAGAAATCCCTCGCGAGCGGCAACATGTATGGCCCGGTCACCGCGGTCTCCTAGGGCTATGTTTACAGAGACGCCTTGGGCCAAAATGGGCTCAAGGTCCTCAAGCCGCCCGCCTCGTACAGCGGCAAAGAGGTCGTCAGCAAATCGCTTGCCTGTTGTGTTGATCTGAGTATCTGATCTACTCTTCTTCAACTCCGATGGTGGCTGTAAACCCAGTTGAGGGGGGTTTTGCCTTTTGAGAAATTCGGTCAATATCTCTCTAACCTCCTCTCGGAGAGTGTCGACACCCTTCTGTACATTATGGACGCCCTCCTTTACTTCTTGACCAGTACGCCTATGACTTATTAGTGTGTGGCTTTGTCTTGTTCGGCGTCTGTCTTCATTGCGTACACTTGCAGAAGCTGGATAACAATACCAAGGCGGGCTTTCTGATCTTGGATACTTTGCGTAGCATCTGAAAAGATCTCCTCCCTCCATAAGAACTTCGTCTTGTCCCACTTTCCCATGCGCGAGTCGCTTTTGCTCTGCACCTTGCTGACTTCGTGTTCCAAATCTTTGAGTGTCTTCTCCAATTTGTCCATGCATGTATCAAGCATCTTCCGCAAACCATCCTCGGTACTGTTCTTGACCGGGTTTTTGAGGATATCAGTCTGTGAGACTTGTTTCTGCAAATTGAGGCACACATCTTTCGTCAAGTTGCACTCGACGATGATCTCGTGCACAGCCTTGGGTGCATTCTTGTACTTTTCCACATGGCTTTGAATCTGACGGGTAACGCCGAAAAGTTCGACGGCACTCGTTAGGGCGGTGATGGGATCCATCTCGCACGAAATGTAGGTCTTTGAAGCAAGGTTGAAGATACCCCTCTCTCAAGCGCAAGCATGGGCGAAGGTAAGCTTCATATAACAGCGGAGAAATGGTATCGTGGTGCATCGCCTCAGCCAGCCATCCTGTCTGCGGCCAATCGTAACTGTAGCTAGGGCTGACATGCATGGATGCTACCCACCGGCTGATAATTCACAAGGCTGCCTCTCATTTTGGTGTCACTGCTGTAGTGTCTTTCTCCGAGAAGAGGGGGCGGGTAAGCTGTGGCATAGATTTGAAGTAAGATGAAAATACGTTTCATAAGCTCAGTGATTGAATCATGGTAGCCAGAACATAGGCGCTTTTGATTGCTCGAGTTTCTAGAAAGCTGGCTTTGGACCGCCGTTCTCCTACCTCGAAGCATTTAGAGACCATGTCACCTTTCGATTCATTATTTGCCCCAATATAACCAAATGAACATGATCGAGGGCCATTACCAGCGAGCCTTGAGTGGAGATCTTGAACTTTACCAACTCTGCGATGTGTCGGCTATGATGCCGCCGCCTCTTCCAGCGACGCTGGCACCGGGCATGGCGCAACAGATCCTCTTTCTCATTGCTGACAGCTTCGTTATTACCACTTTCCGGGGTCTCTAGAAACATATTCGATGGAGAATATACGGAGAGAGCGAGTCAGAGAGGACAATTACAGTGACAGCTAAATCAGCAAGGGGGGCAGTGAGGATAGTTGTAGTGAAGATGCCAGTATTGGAAACTCGACTTTTTAGAACTCATTTCGAAGACAATCACTTCCTTGAGTTTAAGTTTTCTGCTTATCCTGGAAAAGTCGCATCCATTTCCTTCTAGCGCCTCAGCAGGCAGTTGAACGAATGGCTTCAGCGAATCGCAGGGTCAAATCGACTCGACTCTAGCTTATGGATATCCTGAGCGCGCAAGGAGCAATTTGATCCGGGCCCAGTGCCACTCATGCGAATATGTCGCTCTAATGAACTATCAAACCTTGTATGCCACTCATCCGAGTTGACGTCTGAATGCGAATGGACTAAATGGTGAGTTGAAACGTTTCGTCAATAATTCCATTACCTTCGTGCTGGTCAACTTGCGCGACTAGCTGTACCGGCAACACTACAAATAACCAGGTGAGGGGCGATGACGACATCCACCGAACATCAAATGTCTAGACAAGGACCGGGGTTATGATGAGAAGGTTTAGCTCTCAATAACAAACCGCTCAAGCCTGCAGACTGCTCTTCCGAGAAAATGAGGTGACTGATGATTAGATAGCGCCGACGATGAGCGCAATACCAGCACAACGTGAAGTCCATGAGTGACAACGACGCATGCTAAATCCAATTTCTGAGCTGGTCGCGCAAAATGGGCCCAAAGAAACAGGAATGGGTGCCGATGGCGGCGCCCACTGGGGGCTAGCGCTGGGCTGATGCCGATGCGTAATGTTCCCAGAGCTCTCACGAAATCCAGGTACGTAAACCAAAAGTTTTTATCAGAGCAGAGGCTGCTGTCATTCGCCGATCGTCTCATCGAGCCGTTGGTTGGCTTGTCCCAGTATGCCATATGTGTAGAAGTACCGTCGTGCCGTGGAGGCAGGGGGGGGGGGGTCCCAGTTCTCAAGCATGTGCAAGTGCTTCTCGAAGAGAGATGGAGGAAACCTTGTCTCACCAGGAGTATCGCCTACCTGGAATCCCCACGCCCAGTAGCCCCCAAGACACTAGACATCCCGCATTCAGTTGCAGGCTTGATGAGCTGCTTCCCAGGTTCGTGGATGGGTTGTCTTCTGTCAGAGAGATAACCTTAGCTTTGGGGGGCGGGGAGGTATCCCTACTAGGAGCTCACTCACACTCACTGATAAGTACGGAGTACTTCACTTAT